AGTTTTGGAAACATTTTTGGGCAAAAATAAAAAAAAAAAAAAAAAAAACCTTCTTTCACATACTATTTGCATTAACTTAAAAATTAAAAGTATATAAATGAAATTTCTTTCCCTCGGATTCTTCTCTGTGGTCTTTAAGTTGATCAACATGCTAATCAAAAGTTTTACATCCTTTTTTCATTCCCTTATACCCTTTCCCTTTTAAGGCTTACCATGAATCTCTCCTAGAATTTGTTTTTTCTAGAATCCATTATTTCTGGTTGAATTTTGTCATTAATCTTATGCTCAATCATGAGCAATCGAATTCTGGAAATAGTAGCGGAACAGAATATATAATTCAAATGATTTATATTGTTAATGTGGCTATATTAATCGACCTGTAATTTCCTTATCTTACTGATTTGCAGGAAAATCGTGCTCTGAAAGCATGTGATCAAGTTTTGAGAGCCTTTGATCATCTCATGCTAAACTTGGGGGTCTTTCTTCCACTGCTCGCTAAAAGGCATTTGTAAATTTTAGAGGCTTTTTATTTTTTTACTCAAAATTGGTGAACACATTATTGCCATTGATACTTTCTGGGCAATGTAATTGATAATTACATAATTGATATTACAGTTTTTGACTTCACAAGAATATGATATGATAAAAGTGGATCAAACTAATGGATTTTATTACAGGAAGAATCGCATGCACTCTGTTCAAGAGTCTCCTAATAACTTATAACTGTATTTTGATTAAACTCTCCTGCCTATTATAATATAATGATCAGATAAACATACAAGCTTTATCTATTTATCTTTCTAGATATGTAGCAGTGATAAATTTAAATAAATGTAGGCATTGAGTTATTAAAATGTAATAAAATGATAAAGCTGAGGGTATTGAGTTATTTGATTTGAATAAACGAATTTTTACTGACTTGTTTTGAAAAAAATGTCCCTATATTAATTGAAAAATTGAAACTAGAAAGTCACTATGAAAGAAAGTATCAATGAATTCAAGCAGTAATGTACGGATTCTTTTATATATAGTTTAAACTATAAGAAAAATAAAAAATGTATATAATTAATTCAAGTAAATGAATACAAAAAAAAAAATAAGTAGTACTCTTTTTATACTTATATATAAATATAAAAATGCTTAATTTTTTTAATTGAAATATACAAATTTTAATCAATTTTATTTTATTTTATTTAATGTTCTTATCTCAAAAAATATCTTTAAGTTAATAAATGGAAATATTATCTATGATAATTGTGATTAAAATTATTTTAAAATATATAGTGTATGTTTTATATGAAATTATGAAAAATAAATAAATAAAATTAATTTTTTAATTTATGTGAAATTTTTTTGCTTCTGTATAAATTTTGAGGGAGTATAAATTTAAGAAGACCACAAGTAATGAGATGATTGAGAAAGGTTTCAAACTTTGGTTGAAGAAGGGTTTACTCCAACATTAGAACGAGTCTACTTAGGGATGATAAATAAACTCGTATTTATGGGTAATACCTGAATTCGTCCCAACTTTAATAAAAAATATTCGATTTGATTGGGTATGGGTACGGGGTAAAACTCAATATATTGACTATGAGTACGAGTACAGGTATATACTTACTGCCCCGTCTCCGTACCTGTTCCCGTTCCCATTCCCGTCTTCATTCCTGGTTTAATATCCACTCTCGACTTAATTGTATTAAAGAATTTTAATATTTAATTATGTGTGATTATTTATTATAATGTGAATCATTTATAGTTGTTTAATTATTATGAAGTCTTTTGACTAAAATATGAGATAAAGAAACAACTTAATTATAATTGTAATATAATGAAAAAATAATTTAAAAATATTATAATTTTTTTTGTAATTTTTTTTTTTGATGGGTATATGTACGGATATACCCGATACCTGACGGGAATGAAAATGAGATGAAAATTATAACCTAACAGGTACAGGTACAAGAATGAAGATGGATTTAAGCTGCGAGAACAGAGACAAGTATCATGAAACCCATACCCAACCCGTCATGTTGCTATCCCTAAACCTACCGGTTAATCTAATCATCTACGGATTAAGTTAAGTTGTCCAACTTTTTTTATTTTATTAATTTTAATTATAGGAAATTTTTTTTAACCCTTTTAGAACCCGACTCATCCTAATTGAAATCAATATTCACTGATTTGGTAACTGTAACTCTCACTTTTGTAAGTCACTAATTCGTTTTTACTTCACTCATTAAACTTAAAGTGTATTTGTTTCATTTTACAGTATTTTTGGTTATATATATATATATATATATATATATATATATTTATATATATATTATGTTAATTGCATTACAAATTTCATTATGCTCATATAACATTCAGGAAAAGGAAAATTCTCATATATTTATGTTTAAGAAAGGAGGTGAGTAAGTTTAATTTTCATGATGTGATGGTTATTTTATTTTTATTTTTATTTTTATTCATTTGAATTTTCTATGCACCCACTTTTAAAAGATGAAATTATTAGAAAATTTGAACTTGGTTACTTAATTTTTTGAAAACGATGAAATGTTATTTTTTTTTTCTTCTTCTAATTTAGACTAACAAGATTATTATTTTTTTTTACAAGTGACACACATAAAAAAAAAAAAAGTAATGATCCGTGAACTAATTCAAACAATAATCATGTTGTGTACAAGAAAATATTAACATTGATGAGAGAATATCCTTTCAATAATAAAAAAATCAAATTAAATAAAAAAGAAAAGAATAATTTGGATCTGGTTGATGGATCGGGTTCTCTATAATAAGTTGTGCCTGCGTGGCTTATTTTTGTAGAACTGAAAACGCCACCGCAAAATCTAATCGAAGCCTTGAATCGAAGGATCACAACTTGCGCTTTTTTTTTTTCATCAATTTTTTCTGTGAGTTTCTACGTTAAACCCATTTCACAGTTATCTATATGCAATCAATTCATATATTAAATAAAATTCACAGTCTAAATACTTTTTGCGAGTAACTGTTTTCTCCGACAAAATAAATGAATGAATGGAGGCTTGTCTTATTAGTTATGGTTTAGATTGATGTTAATTGCTTGTGTTCTTTTACTTTCATAATTGTTGGATGTTAAAGCTAAATCATCATGATTCGTTTTATGCTTGGTTGTTCTTGTCATGGTTTTGCCTCGCAGCTGTTTGATGAAATGTGTGATTGAAACAAAAGTTTCATTATCTCTACAGCTCTGCACACTATTTTTTTTTTCCTAAAAAATGTTTTAATGGTACTTGTCTGGGTAGGTTTGAATGGCGAGTGAGGATGATGCAGTGAAGAAGGCACTGATAGTAGATACTCGGGCGAGAAACATTAGTCACAATGTGAGGTGCACGGAGTGTGGGAGTCAATCCATTGAAGATTCTCAGACAGACATTGCCATTTTGCTCAGGAAGGTACCTTCCTGCACTCCACTTTTACTTTCTCACATGGCTGTTGTTATTACTTTTTCCCACACTGCTAACTCAAACATGATTTTGTTAATTTATTTATTTCTTGTTTCATTCAGCTACTTGTTTGGAATTCAAAATTTCAAATGGATTCTAGACTTGAAATAATTAAGAAAAGGGACTGAGATGAATTTTGCACGGGCGGGGGGCTCTAAATATTTAGATTGTTGTTTTATGTATGTGACTTAAAAAATAACATCCGAATCCTTTTTGATGTAGTTTCTAGTATGAGTTATCAAATATCAATGCATCATTTGGATATATTACTTGTTAATCCACTTTCCCTTGTAATTGAACTAAAATCTTTATGGAGTTATGCATATTCTTAGTTACTCATATAATTTATCTTCCTTCATGCCTATGTTGGCTTTCTGTAAATTAAACCCCCTCCCCCCCCACATCTCTGAGTAGTGAGTACTGATTTGTGGTTTAATTGGATACACATTTTTTCGGTTTGTAAAGCTTCACTGGCTAAAATGAAAGCCTTTTGTTTTTTATACCATTCATTGTTGTTGATTTGAATTTCTGTCTTGTGGGGGGGTTTCCGGGTGTGTGAAATAACTTATTTTCGTATACTTGTAAAACATAGATTTTAAAATTTTTGAAGTTTCTTGCCTACTTTTATGCCTGTTTTCCATTCATTTCTGCTCAGAACTTCTTTAAATTTAAAAAATAACCATGTCTGCCAGCAGTTTCTGCCTTTCTGGAAGTGTGTTCCTTGGTGCTATTATGTAAATCCTAAACACACGTTCTGTTTTCCAGTTAATTCGTGATGAAATTCGATCTGGAAAGAGTGATAAGGAGATCTACAAAAAGCTTGAGGACGATTTTGGAGAGACTGTACTCTATACTCCCAAGTTTGACATGCAAACAGCAGCTTTGTGGTTATCACCGGTAAATTTTAGGATCGAAAACACTTGATTTGTATTTTTTGCTTGTGCAGTTTAAATTTGAGCTGATTCCATTTATATGTTCTTTCAAATAGATCCTATTTGCAGGTGCAGCTGCAGGGATATGGGCTTACAACAAGCATAAACAAAAGGCTAATGTCCATCTCATGGCTTTGAACCTTGTTAGAGGTGTTCCATTGACCCCAACAGAGAAGGAAACAATGCTTGATATTCTTACGCCACCTCCTTCACAGGGAGTTGCGACACCCTCCTGGTGGATGAGATGGCGAGGTCAATGATCACGTTGACTATCTACTATTATGGCTTTAAACCTTGTGGGAAACTCGGTCTTGGCTTCAATATACTACGAAGATAGTGAACTTGAAGAGAACCTTCCATATGGTACATGTTTGTGACTAGAAGTAGGTTTCATAAATTTTCAAGCCTGGTATTTTAGTACCTCTTTTAGATAGAATCGATTTTAAAACGATGAACATAATCGTAATCTGTATAAATTAATAACCTTTGGGTAAAACATGTTTTAGTTCTCTAAAATTTTTGAAATTCGGTTTTAATCTCTAAAAAAAACTTTATACTATTTTGTTTGTCCATTTAATTTGAAAATGTATCAGTTTAACTGGTCAAAGTGGTATATTTCTAGATTAGAACAATCATGCCCTTTTTTTTTCTCTGTTTTTTTTTTGTCGTCAACGCCTCAGCTGGGTACAGATACACATGCCAAGTAAAAATGAGCTGGATTTTATCGCTTAATTTCCAATTTTCCATACCAATCTATAAAGTCTTCCGTAATCGAGACTTGACATCCACGATTCTGGCATTAAGATATATTTCGAAGGTTAATATATGATGTCTTTTCAAAAGATTCTCCCCTTTTGAAGTTCAATTGATTGTGGAATCACAAGAAGATTTACGTCAAGAAGTTATTTTTCCACACGATTTCTTAAAGAAGATGGTTTGACACTGAGTTGGAGCATGACATGTTAATAGCAATCGACAAATAAACCCTATGACCTGCTTTCTAACATGGGATTATTTAATAATGATCATAGTATTATCCACCCTAACACTTGTACCATGACGTGGTGGATATGCATTGAAACAATATTTGGTACGCCATTGTTTTGGGGTCAGACATTTGATACCCTTCGAGTACTCGAGAAGTTACATTAGCAGGCTTGACAAATGTTTAAAAAAGGGTATCAAATATCGATTGTGCATGTTAAAATGTTTTTTAATTCTAAAAAAGGGTATCAAATATCAAACATGAGCCGAAGCTTCTCGTCACTATCTCGTAGTAGAAGTTGAGTAATCAAATACGGATATCGATTCAGCTGTCTAATCTGAAACTTTTTTGAGTGTTTGGAAAAAACAAACAAGAAAACACTAAATAAGTGGAACGTGTCAAAACTTGGAAAAATATGTTGAAAGTCCTACCGATATTAAAAAAATACAAGACCAAATCTTACGGGTCAAACAATACCTAGGTATGACCCACTGCTATTTTAATTATTTAATTCAATAAATGCCGTTGGGCTCGTTTCCGATTAAACGCGTCGGTATAATGAAATACGTATATGTGTCTTGTTTTATGCTCATCCTTATATATATTTTAATGGTATCTCCCTTTTATAACAAAGTGACGCCTTTTGAGATTATTAAAAGGAAGGACGATATATAAAGAAAGCACGAAACTTATATGCTTTTTAATAGCCACTGTTTCTATTGTTGTCAATTTTGATTTGAAGGAGTACTTTTGTAACAAGTACATTCTTGTTTTAAAGACTAAATACAAATATATAATTTTTAATTCTGATACAAATAATTCATGTAAAATTATATATAAGCTTTGTCTAAAAGAAAATTTACATTTTTTTTTGTTTTACTAAGTTTTTTTTTTGACGTAAAGTATATATTAATTTTATTGATGATTAATATTTGCTAAAAAAAATGTAGTTGATTTATTTTTAGTAGACTCTTGCTTTGAGAAGTGGCTAGGCTTAGAGCTTGACCAGCACCTAGGGTGTCTTATTTTGGTGTCTTCATGACGTTTTATATTCATTATCATTTTGGATTACTGTATAATCTTATTGAGGATAATGACTCTGCTATAAAAATATGTTATATATTTTGGAAATAATTTATATGTTATTGTATATTTACACTCTAGCGTAGCTGGCCCTTGCTCTATTTTCTTTAATATATATATATATATATATATATATATATATATTTTCTACGAATAAGGCTGGAATGCAAGACATTATTTAAAAAAAAAATCAATTTGACTTGAACAAAAACTAAAAAATGCAGTAAGAAAAATCCTGCCACAGAAGAAAAAATCTTGTTTTTGTAGTTGTACTTATCCCTGCCACAAAATAAGCCTATCTTCAAAAAGGCGTAACATATGGAATAACGTTCACAACTAATAGCCTAATAACCAACCAATCATTCGTCTAGAACAGAACCCTCCTTATAGTTGAGTAATACTAATACTATTGGAATTGGAATTGAAGAGGGCATGCACAAGAACACACATACATTGACCGAGAGAAACAGAAGCAGACAAATTAATTAAGGTGAAAGAGAGGAACGTGCAAATTAGAAGCACGCAGTTTCCACCTAACTCCACCGCTGAATTGGTTGGTTTGGTTTGCAATATATCTGCCACCTAAATGAGTCGCTCATTCAAGGCTTTCAACAAACACCTCACTCTTCTTCCTCTCCATCATCAACGCACTCCTTCCCATGCCTTCCTAGCTTCTCTCCCTCTCCTTTCCTACCCCAAGTCCTCTTTCTCTCTGTTTCGTCCACTTTCATGTGAGTTTTACGCACCCTTCTCTCTCTTTAATCACTTTTCTGCTTTTTGGGCTCCTTTCTCCTCGGATCACCTTTTTATTTCATCTGGGTTATTCGGCTTGTCATAAAAATTCTATTTTGGGGTTCGCTTGCTGCCGCATGCACAAGTAAAGGCTGTGCTTTCTCTTTCTCTTTTATATTAATCGACTTTGACTGGAATGTAGTGTATTCTGGGTGTGAAGTAATTTTGTTGCCCGAAACTGTTCTTTGCTTGCTACTCTGTTTTCTTCTAGCTATTGGCTATCATCATGCATTTGCACACACAATTTGGAATTTTTTTAGAGATTACTATGATGCATCTAATTTAACTGTAGAGGTAGCGTTTGGGTTTTATAGCCCGTAATTTGCTGACATCATGCATTAGTACACTCGATTTGGAAATTTGTTTTAAGAAAATACCTAAGGATGGTGATTATTATGACAGTTTGTAAGAGATGTACTCTGTAAAAATGATGTTGTCATTGATTTGTTATGATGATCTTATGATAACCACATTGCTGGGCTGGGAAGTTTAGAAGGGCCATCTTGGTTCTGAGCAGTTATCTGTTTATTGGGTGGTTACTAAGAAAAAAAACCAAATAGATATTCTGGTTTTTCAGTTTTCGTAATGTGAAAGTTATTTGACTGTTTCTTCCTTTTATTTAGCATCTGCACCTGCTACATTAATGGAGGTGGTCAAAGCAATTGCTAAGCAAGAACCTACAGTTCATGAAAGTGTTGCTATCAGAGCTGATCAGAAGAGTTATAGTTACAAGCAACTCATTTCGTCAGCACAGAAGATATCTAATCTTTTGTGTGGCGGTGATGTGCAAGTGGTGAGTTACTCCTTAGAATTCCCTTTCTATTGTTATTGCTAGATGAAATAGTGCATAACTATTAGGTAGCATCTGACCAATATGATGAGTTGAAGCTCATAAAAACTTAATCTGTAAAAATAGCTATGCTATTTTTTTTTCAAATATAAAAGATATAAGTTTCAAGGAAAATACAACACAGTAAGGGGTACAGCATGCAGGAGCATAAAAGGTGAAAACTTTCTGAGAACAAAATGATTACTAAGAATGCAGCAATGCTGCTCTATCTCTCTGCATGTAAAAGTTAGCAACTAGCAACCCCATTGAAACAAGCAGGGACAGAAGCCTGAGAACATAAAAAAGAAGCCAAAATTACAACCATATTGCATGCATAAGAGCAAAGAGGCACTCTGAAAGATGCATTCTGGTTAAAGTAAATGCAATAAATAATAACATAAACTAAACACAGCAAAATTGTTAAGGCAATTTTGTTCTTGGCAAAACCTTCATGCTGAACCATAGAAAACAGCTTGAAAGTTGGAGACACTATATTCTCAGTAAGAAAACCCACTTTCTTTTAATTACATTTTGATCGCCTGCTAAGGATTGGAGATTAATAAAATTCTTAATCTGTTGCTTGGCATTCATACGTAGTACTGCATTCATGAATATGTTCGAAATAATCATTAAGTAAATTCTTAGTGGTATCAAAATCCAGGGAAATCTCAGTGGAGCTCGAATAGGAATTGTAGCCAAACCCTCTGCTGAATTTGTTGCTGGAATACTTGGGATTTGGCTTAGTGGAGGTGTTGCTGTTCCGCTTGCAATCAGCTATCCAGAAGTAGAGCTCCTATATGTGATTCATAATTCGGTATGCTTTGGAATCCCTTTTCTTGTGTTTGTTTAACATTTAGATGGCTTGCAAACTTCATGAATCTAGAACCTCCTAAATCTGCCCTCGACTTTGTCTCCGTATCTTTTATTTGAACTTTCAAATAGCTGATTTATCCATAGATGCTTACCTTTTGTGAAATGAAATGGCTGAAATACGCTATGTAAGTATACCTTATATATTATAAATTGCATTTTATTGGATGTTGAGTTCAACATCAATAAACTATTGAATGAGGAATCTGCTATTCATATGTCCCATGACAAAATAATCCATGATGCTTTTGGATTAGTTTTTATACTTCTGTGTCTATAATTTATTATGTCTCACTGGTTGCTTCTGCAAGTATGTCCATTCTCAAGGAACAAAATGCTTATTAGACAGGTTGGAAGAGTTGAGTATGATTATTGTGATATAGATTGAATCACATCTATCTTAGGAAAAATAGTTGGTTATATGTTAACTAGCAGATTAGTTAAACCATCATTACCTTTGTGCTTTACTTCTGCTTTGTGGATTAAATCTTAATAGAAATTTGATGATAATTTGGCTGTAGGATGTATCTGCAATACTGAGTACTGAAGATCATAGTGAATTAATGCAAAGCGTAGCCAATAAAAGCTCTTCTCAGTTTTTCCATCTTCCACCTGTTCTCAACAAGTCTTTAGAGAAAAGCAGAGATGAACATTCACAGAATGGGGAAAATGGCACTGACAGAATTTTCTTAGATAATATTGGAAAATTGAGTAAGAAAATCACTGTTTCAACTTTTATAAATGAATTATATATATACATAATGAAATAATTCATGTTTTACATCAAATTTCAACGATCCAATCGTTAAATTTAAAATTCTCAATGCATAGATCAAATTTGCAAATTTTTAAAAAATTCGAAAACTATTTGATACTTCATTTCATTAATTCAAATTGACGGATAATCATAAAATTATTTTATACATTAATTTGAATTTATGAAATGCAATTTCAAATGATTTTCAATTTTTTTTTTTAAATTTGCAGATTTGATTTATGTATTAAGAATTTTAAGTTCAACGGTTTGATTGTTGAAATTTGATGTAGAACATGAGTTATTGAACGGAGTAAGTTTAGCTAGACTTACTCTTGAAGGAAACGGATACCTCCTCATATATATATATATATATATATATATATATAATTTGAAAACTATTTGATACTTTTTTATATAAATTCAAATTAATGTATAAAATTGCTTTTATAATTATCCGTCAATTTGAATTAATGAAATGAAATATCCACCAAATAGTTTTCAAATTTGTTAAAAATTTGCATACTTGATCTATACATTAAACTTTCAATTCAACAGTTGGATTGTTAAAATTTGATGTAAAATATGAGTTATTTAGTAAAGTATAGCTAGATTTACTCTTGGAGAAAGTGGATATCTTCTCCATCTTTGTCCATCTATATATATATATATATATATATATATGTATGTATGTATGTATATATATGGATATAGTTGAATCTTTTGCTAGCAATTTGTTGACATTTCTTTCTTTGTTTTCCATATCCATCAACATAGGTGAGGATCCAGCACTGATTTTATACACTAGTGGGACTACAGGTAAACCTAAGGGAGTTGTTCATACACACAAAAGCATCTTTTCCCAGGTATGCTCTATGATTACCTCTAGTTACATTTATTACTTTGAATTGACAGTTTCATTTCATCTAGTAAAATGAAATCCTCTTCCCGAACACTAGTTCTATATGACAGTGCAAATTGTTTTGGTGTGACCATCAAATCTTGCACAAATTATGATTTAATTTTAATCTAAATGCAATTTAATCCCCACTGACATGAGCATTTCAGTCCATTCCTATTCTAACTTTTGTCAATTTTGTCTTGATTTTAGGTCCAAACTTTGACAAAAGCGTGGGAGTACACATCTGCTGACCAGTTTCTGCATTGTCTACCACTACATCATATCCATGATTCATGAAAGCTTTTGTGTATACATTGTTCAATATTTTTCCAATAATGTACAACATACTAATATTATCATCTTTAGTATGTTTGCTGAAAATGTGATTTGGGATATCTCTTATTTTTTGTCAATCCTTGACATATATGATATACATGTTCACGGGCTTTTCAATGGTCTAATGGCCCCTCTCTATGCAGGTTCCACGGTAATACACTCTCTTCATTTATGCTTCCAAAGAAAAGACAACTAGAAAAAATGTTATGTTTAAGTGGCTTCAAAATAGATAGTATCCATTTTAAATAATTTTTTATGGCTAAGAATCTAATTATCTTGTTGAAGGTTGAGTTTTTGCCAAAATTTAGTGTGAGGGGAGTTTGGCAGAGATGGCGTGAGTCATATCCAACTGAGGGTTCTAAGGCTGACGATGCTATTACTGTGTTCACTGGAGTAAGTATTATTCTTAATTTCAGTTGTTCAGTTTGTTCATTTAAAATTAATTTGAAAACTATCAACAGTATTTTCCATGATTAAAAAACTCGTCTTAGTTGATCTGATTATGATTAATCCCTTTGTAAATGAAGGTTCCAACAATCTATGCCCGATTGATACAAGGTTATCATGCAATGGATCATGAGCTACAAGCTGCTTCGGCATCTGCTGCAAAGAACTTGCGACTTATGGTAAGGGAAAGAGGCACTATGGCATGAGAAAAAATGGGAATTTTCCATGCATGGACATGCCTGCAATTTATGTTGCGTGTTCTCCTGCATTAGTGCTTAATGTTGACTATTAATTCAATCTGGGAAATCTGATATATTGTCATGTTATCATCCAGATGTGTGGGTCCTCTGCGCTTCCTCAACCTGTTATGCAAGAATGGGAAGCCATCACTGGGCATCGCTTATTGGAACGATATGGCATGACTGAAGTAAGTAAACTTTAGTTTATGACCTTTACTATTTTTCTTATTAAATTTATAATTATTTTTGTATGAATCTTATTATGTTAATGTTTCTAGTTTGTTATGGCATTGTCAAATCCATTGAAAGGTGAGCGCAAGCCAGGAACCGTTGGCAAACCATTTCCTGGTATACAGGTTAGTTGAGCTTGCACTTTTAAATGCTGCTTGTCATAGAATGTGGGATATTTTTTAATTCTCCCATTCCACTGTTGGCATAATCTGTTTACATGATCATATAGTCTAAACAACATTGTTGGAGATTTTAGTAACTAATGGTCTGGGCACAAGGTTCAATTTCTGGTTAAGGAAACCAATTTTTTTTCTTTTTTCTAACAACAGGCAATAAAGTGATATATGAATGAAACTTAAAGGACACATGTGAAAGAAGTTTTACCTTGACATACTAGGAACAGTTGTTTTACTATGAACCTTAAGGCAGGAGTTGTCTCAAGTGTAATGGACGCTCAGTTTGAAAGATAATATCACATGGAATTTTTACGGATGTATTTTTGTCTGCTTGACAGATCAAGATTATTGCAGATGAAGATGCCGGTGTGAATGAAAGTACTGGAACCGGTGAGCTTTGTGTAAAAAGCCCTTCATTGTTTAAAGAATATTGGAAGCTTCCTGAGGTACTTTCAAAATGTTAAATTCTTCTATTTAGTGATTCTGAAACCATCATTTAGTAATAATTATTATCTGTTGTTTTTGACTTTTTATGCACCAAACCGTTCATCATTGATTTATGATGCAATACATGATTGTGTACATCACGATACAATACCCTATTTCCCTGTTATTGTCCACCACTATCCAGAGGCTGCACTTCCTGTTATCTGAGAAACAGTTATTTGAGCAACTGCTAAAGATTGAGCACAATAAAAGGAGTAGAATATTATTTCAGTTACTGAAAGTCCAAGATTCCAAAGATAGAGAATGGTAAAAGAAATATAATATATAATTCTTAGAAATTACTATTTCCATGCAGGTGACGAAGGAATCATTTACTGATGATGGATTCTTTAAGACCGGAGATGCAGTTACTACAGATGAAGATGGATATTACATCATTCTAGGACGTAAGGAAATTTATACTTCTCTGTGCATGCTGTCATATGTTTCTAGGAATTATCCTTGAGCCAGGGCTTTCCATTTTCCAAAATGAATCTCAATACAAAAGATAAAAATGCGTAAATTGTTACAGCTGTTTGTCAGAAACGTTGTTCCTAAACTGCTGATAGCTTGGACATTTGGTTTTGCCCAATATTTGAACATGCATGAGAAGTCAACTATTTCGTCTTGATTAACTTAGTATAAACATAAGGATCCCTACACCTGAGCCTGAGCATATCAGTGTTAAAGTTAGATTGTGACATTCTCTATTTGTTGTTTATCAGGTACTAATGCTGATATAATCAAGGCTGGTGGCTATAAGCTGTCTGCATTAGAAATTGAATCAGTAATAATAGAGGCAAGTGACTACTGACTACCATTTTCTCATTGTGGTTGTTAGTTGTTGCTAGAACGACCCTCACAAATTGCAAATATTAATTTGTTAAAAATTAATTGGATTGAGACTATAGCATCATCATTAGCTGGAATTGAAATATCAGCTAGGTCGGGATCACAATTTGTATGGATTATACAAATTGTTGGAATTTTCAAAGTTATACATTTTGTTTCCATGGAAAGAGCTGAATATAAGGAATGGTATATGAATATTCACAATTAGAAAATTTTTTGCAGCATCCAGCTGTAGCGGAATGTTGCGTTTTAGGCTTACCAGACAAAGACTATGGAGAGATTGTTGGTGCAATCATTGTGCCACAGGTTGATGTTAAACGGAAGCGAGATCAAGAGTCAAAGCCTGTTTTAAGCCTAGAAGAATTGTCCACGTGGGCCAAAGACAGAATTGCACCTTACAAGGTATGGCACTATGACCATTGTTTATACCTCTGGTCTTTGCGTTTGTATAAGATAGATCGGGTAAGAGTTAGTGGTGAAAACAGCAAATCTTAACCCTTTATGTAAAAATTAGATGGTTAAGATAAACTCTTTTCACTCTTACCAGTTACCACCCCTGTATATATGCATTCGTTTATGGGATTAACCTTTCACTTTTTTATACTCAAAACCATATATAAGCTGCCACTAAAAATGCAAGTGCGGAGTGCTAACCCGTGGAAAAAGTTCATCAACATGATATTTTGAGTCTTTCATGTACAAGTCCATGGCAGTCATGATAATTATTGGAGAGAAAAAAAATTAGGGGGAAAGAAGTAGAAGATAAGAAAAAATGATGACAAAAAGAGTAGATTTTAAAGTTATTTGAATTAAGAGGAGAATAAAAAAGAAAGTTTAGTTTTCTCTTCATTTTTTGACTAGATAGAAAAACTTGATTAGGAAATTATAAATTTTCTATCTTTCACTCTTCCATTTTCTTGGCTCATGAGATTACAAAATTATACAAAATTTAATACATTTTATTTCTTTTTGGGCTATTTATCATACTAATCAAACAATTGAAAAACACCATTTTTCTTTGTTTTCTACTTTTCTCGATGGTGTTTTCTTTACTACTAATTTCTTGGGTTTAAAACAAAAGCATAAAAGTATTATCTTTTGATAATTTGTTTATGTCTTGTTAGATTCCTACTCAACTAATCGTGTGGGACTCACTCCCTCGCAATGCCATGGGGAAGGTAACTTACTTTTGCTTCTACCTAGTCCTAATAGACATAATTTCTTTTTTCACCCTTTAGGAAGGAAAGTTAATTTTTTTTTATTTCCCTGTGAAATTCCAGGTAAATAAAAAAGAGCTGAAGAAGCTGCTGATTTGAGAACAGTGAACATCATATGAAAAATATTTACTCATTTATCAAGTTAATTATTGAAACTAGTTTTAAGATGGTGGCAATCTGAAATCAAATTGCACCAATTATTGTATTATTTAAATAGAAAGCTTTATATTGTGGCATTTATCAAGTTCAATAAGTTTTAGCATATTGTTAGCGGAAGATAAAGGAGAAAATATAGCATAAGTTTAACATTTTAGCTTTATGAAGGTGATTGATTAAATGTTTGTAATGAAAAACATATATTTATTATTACATTAGTAATGAAAATGTTTAATATTTATTTCATTTAGTAATTAAAAATATTTAATACAATTTATTTCAGCCAATGCTTTTTCTTTTTCTTTTTTGAGGGGGGATGGGGTTGACAAGTTGACGATTCACACTTCCACAGTTTGGTGGCGAAGAAATATTGTAGAAAAAGTAAAAATTCAAACATAATCGATTATTGTTGTAATTTTATAGTTAAACGAAATTTATGTGAGATTTATTAAATAGTGAGACTTGCCGAAAAAAATTATTTTTATTGGAAGAGATAAAGTTTAATTTGAAAGGAATTGTTCTACTGGCTGAATATTGTTAGTACACCAAAAAAAAGGAGTGAGATTTACATTATTGAAAGTGTCCGACTTATTAATAATTTATTAATGTGCTTATTTTAATATAAATGAAATTTATTATATCATATCATTTTTAAATAATTTATAATACGGATTTTGTTATAATGATGAAATCTTATTAATAATTCATACTTTTATAATTTTTTATTTACACTTGCTTTTTGATAATTTAAAAAATAAATATAATTAATATAATTAAATATTAATTTTATTAAATATAATAAATAATATTTTAACATATAAAAATTAATATTAAATTTATACAATTAATTTAATGCATATAAAAAATATTAAAAATAAAGAAATTATATAATCATTAGAGATATATAATGATAATAGGTGACTAGTTTTTAATTTATGAGAGATGAAAGATTGATGATGTATAAATTTTTATTTATTTATTTGTGGAAGTAATTTGTGCTCTATATAGTTTGTTGAAAGAATCAAGATTAGAAAATATTAATTTTTAATTCATAAATAACATTATTTATTTTTAAGTAATTTATTGTGCTATATTATTACACTCTAATGAAAGTTGTTAATAAATACAACTGTTTATTCATAACATATATCATAACCATTCTTTATTGAAGATACTTTAAGATTTATAGTAATATTATCTATTAATAGAGTTAAAAGAATAATTATGATACTACAAGAGCTCTTATATCATGTTGAAAACAAAAAATATAGAAAAGAAAACCCAAATAAATAATAAAAATTGTATAATATTATTTTTGAGTCTATCTCTCTTTTTAATAAATAAAGTAATAAAAAGAGATAAACATAAAAAAATAATATTGTATAAATTATTGTTTAATTTTTATTGTAAGTTAAATATTAATCTTGTTATTTATTTTTGGATATATATTTATGGAGAAGGAGTATTATATCATTTATATGTTCCTGTTCAGCGAATCAACTAACAATTAATCAACAATGTCAACTAACAGGTTAACAAATTGGAACTACCTATTTTAATAAATTAAACATTTTTTTACACCAATACATCAATCATTTAACCTTCAATATCTGTGAAGAAGACTTTGCATTACAAGCTTTGCTTAGTTCACCAGAAAACAATGCCTTGATTCAGAGCCAAAATTTTCGACCATTAAAAACAATGCTGGCAACACTTAATCCTTTATTTATCTTTAATAAAGAAATTTTACATGTAATAAAGAAGCTTTTTTAAACATATTTGATCAGCAATATTCACATCTGATTCATCCAATAATAATGAGAGAGAAAATGTTGAAAATACCAATATCCTCCATTCTTCCATTGATTGCGAGCGACTCTTTCTACTTTCTCACGTTTCGCCTTTGGGCTAGGCCCAAAAAATAAAGAACGAGGGGTTTGTGTATCTGGGCTTGGGTTAACCGAGGGCCCAGTGAATTCATCTTCTCCTTCCCTTGTGTTTTGTGTTTGTACTTCGTAGTGTTTGATTTGAAGCGCGTTCTTCTTTTTCAGTGTCCGCTGCTGCAGAGTGAAGAAGGCAAAGAAGAGAAATGGAGAAGATGAAAATAGAAGAGGTTCAGTCAACAACGAAGAAGCAGCGTGTTGCCACGCACACCCACATTAAAGGCCTAGGTCTCGAGGTTCGTTCTCTTCCACTTCTGAGCTAGGTTTTCATCTTCCCTTTGCAAAACTTGAACCCTAGTTTGATGATTGTTCAGGCGAGTGGAAAAGCGTTGCCTTTTGCTGCAGGGTTTGTGGGTCAAGTTGAGGCAAGAGAAGCATCAGGTCTCGTCGTCGACATGATACGGCAGAAGAAAATGGCCGGCCGGGCACTTCTTTTCGCCGGACCGCCCGGAACCGGCAAGACTGCATTAGCCCTCGGAATAAGCCAGGAGCTTGGCACCAAGGTTTCTCTTCCAAGTCTCATTCATGTGTTGTTTTTGTTTCTCTTTCTGTTATTGTGGCCGAAAATAAAGTATATGCCACTCTGCAGGTTCCATTTTGCCCTATGGTTGGCTCTGAAGTTTACTCCTCCGAAGTCAAGAAGACTGAGGTTCTCATGGAAAATATTAGGCGGGCTATTGGTCTGCGAATCAAGGAAAACAAGGAAGTATATGAAGGAGAGGTGAGTTCATGGCTATTCTCTTGTTGACATTGGGCTGTGATTGTGCCTTGTACAATGTACATGCTGTTGTTGTTGTTGATGATGATGTTTAGCTGGTCTTGTTTAGGTCACCGAGCTCTCTCCGGAAGAAACCGAGAGTGTGACGGGTGGTTATGGTAAAAGTATTAGCCATGTGATTATTGGGTTGAAGACGGTGAAAGGAACCAAGCAACTTAAGTTGGATCCCACCATATATGATGCCTTGATTAAGGAAAAGGTGAGCTCTTTAGTTTTGTTTTGCTCTGTGTCTGTGTGAAAGAGATTATAAGTTTCTTTTCTTTATTTTGAACGAAGCTGTTTTAGTTTTAAAGCTATATAATATTTGTGTTGGCAGTTCTGATGCATTTTTTATTTGGTATTTCTGCCACCGTGCAGGTAGCTGTTGGGGATGTTATATACATTGAAGCAAATAGTGGGGCTGTAAAAAGGGTTGGTCGAAGTGATGCTTTTGCTACAGAGTTTGACCTTGAAGCAGAAGAGTATGTTCCACTTCCTAAGGGAGAGGTTCACAAGAAAAAGGAGATTGTTCAGGTATTTAATTTCAAGACCAATTTTATATTTATGCAATGCCTCTAAGATTTGCTAATTTAGTATAATTATTAAATTTAATCCCTGAATTTTCTGTATCAGAAGCTTATATTGATGTCAACTTTCATTTCTGAATTTAACTTTTTTTCTCAATAACATCAATTCTATTGTTCTACTTTGAGTTGATACGTGAGTGGTTGAAACAGCCTAGTTAGTAGTCACCAAGCCAGTCATCGATCCAACCTGTTGAACTGGCAAGTCTAGTCTTCCTTTTATAGTCATGGTTGTGATTGTCAAATTTGGTTGCAATTATTAAATTGAAGCCATGTCACTATGGGGGCAGGCAAAACTTAATCAAGATTCCTGTGGACATCAGAATTTTTTAATTCTAGATTTCAATTTAGAGGAGATAATTTTTTTTAACTATTTTGTTGTCAGAATACTCAAATTTTTGGATAGCAGATTTTAATAGAAATGGTCAGAGGCTTGTACTAGTGTACTCTGTAAAAATGTGTTTTAGACATCGACTAAATTGTATATTTCTAATTTCCTATTGTGATTTGGATTGTTGTCCTGGAAGGATGTAACCCTACATGATCTGGATGCTGCCAATGCACGACCTCAAGGGGGACAAGATATTCTGTCTCTTATGGGTCAGATGATGAAACCCAGGAAAACAGAAATCACTGACAAGTTGAGACAAGAAATTAACAAGGTATTGTTATAACTTTTGATACATGTTTGTAGTTTCTTATTTAATTAGTTGTGACTTGTGTGGAAAATTATGGGTCTAAAAATTAAGCTTTTCTCTTGGCAATTTCTTCAAATGTTTTCAATTAGCCGTGGGCATATTACTTATTCCTTCTGATACTTTGTTTTATAAATAAATTGAAATTAGTGATTGATAAAGTCATACTTGTTAGTTGTGACCAGAAAAAACCAAAGGAAAAAGAAAAGGAGGGATAAATTAAAACAAGAGTGTAACTGTTTTTGTTGGTGACAGGTTGTCAACCGATATATTGATGAAGGTGTGGCTGAGCTTGTCCCTGGAGTTCTATTTATTGATGAGGTGACTGTCTGCAACTTACTCACCATCTAATGTCCACAATGCTATTGCGTCTAATTAATCAAGTTGTAATGCTTCTTTGCAGGTTCATATGCTAGATATGGAGTGTTTTTCATATTTGAATCGTGCTTTAGAGAGCTCCCTATCTCCAATAGTAATTTTTGCTACTAATAGAGGAATATGCAATGTAAGGTATGGTTAAACTAATGTTGCTTTAAAACGAGTTTTGGTCCAGTGTTAAATTTTGGGGATACCAAATGAATGCAATGTGATAATTGGTACAGCCATTCTTGGTGTGTCATAGCAGGCATCACCATTGTTCTTATTTTGTTAAGTGTTCGTGATTATCTCCTTAATATTGAGTTTAACTCTTGGTCACATGATTTTAGCGCTCGTGATTAGGAAAATAAATTGAAAGTAACCTCTGTCGAAGTGGATCCTTATTGATGTTTAGTGTTTATAGTGCATACTTAATTGGCATTCATCAATATAAACTTTAAGTCAATGTTCATATTGATTAGTTGTTTGATTGATATGGTTCCATTTTCATTAATTCATCATGTATAATTTGAGGGTTGTTGCGTGTTTTTTAAACAGAGGGACTGATATGACCAGTCCTCACGGCATACCTGTTGACCTGTTGGATCGTTTGGTGATCATTCGATTGCATTCTTGTTAGCCAAACGTATGGTCCTGCTGAAATGATACAGGTAGTATTTCCTTCATCTTTCTTTTGAATGGATATTCAAGATTTAAATTGTTATGCATTTGGATATACAAACATACACACTTGTCTGTGGAACAGATTCTAGCCATTCGTGCTCAAGTTGAGGAATTAGTTGTGGATGAGGAAAGTTTAGCTTTCCTTGGGGAGATTGGACAACGGTCTTCTTTAAGGTCTGCATTCTAGATTAGCTATTCTTCTATGCTTTTCTTTCTTATGTTACTTACACTAGTTGCTTATCAGGCATGCAGTTCAGCTGTTATCACCTGCCAGCATTGTTGCAAAAATGAATGGCCGAGACAACATCTGCAAGGTATTTTGAAATTGAACTATTTGATGTTAGGCACTTGAAATAATGTTGTTTGCTACGTACTTATATTCAACTCAATGTGTTATTATTGTTGTCAAATTTATAGGCGGATCTTGATGAAGTTTGTTCGCTATATTTGGATGCCAAATCATCGGCCAAGTTACTTCAAGAGCAGCAGGAGAAATACATTTCATAATATTATTTTCAAACTGTTGCAATGGCTGGTGTGATAGGGTTTGAATTGCAACTGATTTTCTTGTTGCTTCTCTACTGCTCCTGCATGATCGAGATAATTGGTTCAAAGAATACATCTGAATATTATCGATGGTAGCAAGAACATGGGATAAAGAACTTCTTGGTTCGTTGGATAACAGTGACATGGTTAAAGTGTGCTACAATTTGTTGCTGAATTCATTGTAGGATTATTTTTCATGACATTTTGACGACTGAAAACGAAAAGGCAACATGGAGATGTAATGAGGCTGTTTGTTTCCCATATATGTTATCGTTTTTTTTTTTTTTTTGCTTTTAAATTTAGTTCTGTTGATAATGGACTTTATCCCTCTATTCTACAACTTTCTAATTTATGTAGGTTTAATACATCATTTGTATTTGTCGAATTGTTATATTAATTGTCCATGACAGAGGTGTAGGTGAGTTAAGTCACAATCAACACATGGCACTTGGGTTATTATGGTTAAATAGAAAGAGTTACATTTTGCCTATCAACTTTATGTTGAACCAAAGACGTCTATGCATGTGCAACACCTTAATTTTGATGATAACAAAGTGATGAACTTAAGTAACCGATATTTAACTAGGTCATTTCATGAAGCATGTGTTCAAGATGTAGAAGGAAGACATAAATATGTTTTATTAAATAAATTCTTTTACAAACACGCAAAAATGAGATAAATGTAACATAGTAATTAGGATAGTTAGTGTCAACGTCCAATGTTCAAGTATTTGCGTCTTACGAGTGTCAACAAATTCAAAGTTTGTTTGAAAGTTTCGTGTCTTTAAAAGTCATATTCAAACATTCAAAGAGTTTAACTAATAAGCGCGTTGATAATTTGTGGTTATGTTCTATTACTTCTTTTGTAATTGTGCGCAAAATGGTATAGTAAGTTTGAACTAAGTATAACATTTAAAAAAGGAAATTCAACTACAAAGAAAATTATCAGCATATACAAAAGTGTATTTAGAAGTTTTTGCCCTTTGCTTCATTTCCTCATCATGACAAAACATTTATGTAGCTTTGAAGCACCTGAACACAAGTATTGAAAATCATCTTTTCAATAATCACGAACAAAGGTTTTCATTAACAAATATATCTTTGAAGTTTATAAATATGAGAAGACTTGAAAAGAATAAAAATTTCTTGTAAATATTGCAAAAAACACTTTCTAGTTATGTTAAAAACTCTCCAAGTATATAAGTTTTGCATACCATTGTTTAGTGGATGATTAGAGAATAGCTTATATTTTCAATGTACCTAAAATTACATATATTCTTCATGAGAGTCGGTTGTACTTTATCCCTTATTGTTGTAAGTTTGAAGATGTTAGTTAAAGAATATTGCAACATGTTGTTGTGAGTTGGCCAAAAGTGGCATAGAGAATACTTGTTGTAACTAGAAGTGGTTGTCAAAAAATACTTGTTTGTAAAAGTTTCCAAGTTAGTGAAACTTTTAAAGTTCGAAGGTAATTGAACGTAACTTAGAATGAGTGAACCAATATAAAAATATCTTGTATTTTTTTACTATCCTTTTTGTCTCACTTTTTGGACAAAAAAAATATCTCTCTCCTTTTATTTCTTTTTCTCCCTTTTGCTCTCACTTTCACTCCCCCTCTTTTTTCTTCTCTCCCTCTCCCTCCCTGTCTCTCTCACTCTCACTCCCCCTTTTCCTTTCTCCCTTTCCATATATCTATTTCTCCCTCTTTTTTGTATTTCATTATTTCTTGATCTTATCAATTTTAATAATATTATTAAAACCTATTTTGTTTCTACACTTTAATAGTATTTGTTAACACTTTTTTTATTATTTTTATTTGAATGAAATAAAATAATATATTTTTATTCTTCTTAATTATAATGTAGAATTTTTCTTTCTTTTTTTTAATGTTGAATTCTGTATTTAAATAATTTTAATAAGTTTTCAACTTTTTAAAATAGTTTAATATCATATTTGTAATAAGATTTGAGTATATATATATATATATATAATGAGTTTATTTTAATAAAGGATATTTTTGTAAAAATGTTTATAAATCCAAGAATATAGTATTTTAACCAAACATGAAAATTTTTAATTCTCGAGAATCATGTATGAATATTCCTAAGAACTTTTATGAGTAACCAAACATATTTTAGTTATTTCCAAGCACTTCCTTAGGGTTATTTCTATCTATAATTATTTGAGGGGATATTTTTTTTATCACGAATCATTTTATGACTTATCACTTTTTTGTTATAACTTATTGGTTGTTACTAGATTATGAGGTTATTTCACAAATAATTTTACAATGGTGGGATATTATGTGTTTTGGACCGAAGCTCTCACAATTTTGTTTTTTATTATCATCTAAAAGGTTTCTCAATCAATAGAGTAAGCATATGCTTTATAAAAGTTTAGTTCTCCACTTGTTTTATTGATGTGCGACCTTATTTGTATTCTAACAATCCTTTCCTTAAATAAGGAACTTAACCTTTCATTCAGCAAAATATGTGTTTGCATATCATTTTATGACTCATGACTTATCACTTTTTGTTATAACTGCTTTCATTTAGTAGAATTTGTTTGTATATCATTTTATGACTTATCACTTTTTGTTATAATTTATTAGTTGTCACTAAATCCAACCTGCGTTATAATTTATTGGTTGTCACCAAGGTTGTCAATCTTGAAAGTTTATGTAATCTCGTTGAGATCCCATACATCCGAATTGTAAATTCATAAGAGTTTACTTAATATAAAAAATATATTTTAATACTTATAAATAACATAACTCAATATTTCAACTCCATATTAAAGTAAAATAGCAAATTACAATATTAAAGTAGCAATATTTAGTAGCAAATAATGCAAAATTTCACAAAAGACACAAGTTCTTAAAATAACAAATAAAAAACAAAAAAAAGACCAATTTTTTTTGCTTTTAATAACAAAGGGAACGAGATTGGGTTGCTCAAAAACAAGTTCATTTTTGTCGGTATTTATTTGCAAAGATATTTTATTTTTTTATGAAGTTATTTCACACACAACTCTATAATAGTGAGATATTATTTGCTTTGCTATCACGCAAAAGGTCTTTCAGCCAATGGAATATACTTTATAAAAATTTATTTCTTTTCTTATTTTATTGATATAAGACCTTTTTTATATTTCAATACTCTCAGAATAATTTATGTTGCTTGCCACATTTTAGAGGAACAATTTTACTATGGAGCAAATATGCATCTAAACATACCAACATAGTTGACACACACATTAATAACCCGTTGATATCTTCAACTACTACTGATCAAAACATTGAAACTGTAAATATGGTTATCCAAGTAGTGTATGTCCCTACAAAGTTCAACATCTCAACTAGGCCATCATCGGGTCTTCCTGCATGGATCCATCATTTTCCTTTTCATCGCAAACCTATAATTCAGCCATCTCTTCCTCCTTTGAGTCATTGTTTTCACTAATCTTGAATACCTTTTCAACAGGATCCCCATTCATTGCAAAATCTAGTTAACTCTTTTATCATTTGAGCCAATTTCTTCACTAACAAGGGATGCCTTGTCAGGCTGGCTCATATTGCCCAATTGAGTTAATTTTTTCTCGTTTGAACTATTTTCATGAGACACCTTAGCTAGTTGATCAACTGTGGGTCCATAAGCCCAACTGCATACTAGATAATACAGTATATTAAGAGCACTCATACCAGAAAGAACCCAGTAGTACTTGTCATAACGACCCTTGTTAATGTTATCTAAAACCCATCCTTCGTTTCCTCCTCTTGAAGTAACCTTTTCCACAATGCTGAATACCAAACTAGATAACACATTTCCTGCAGCCATTCCAAGTCCAAAAAGAGAAGAAGCGATACCTGACATAGTTCTAGGAAACTCAGTGTAATAGAACTCATTTTGGCCAATTGCATTGAATGCTTCAGCCATGCCATTCAAACAAAGTTGAGGAACAAGCCACATTGCAGACATATTCAACACTGCATGTCCGTCATCAATATGCCCCTCACTAATTGCTCTCCTTCGCCTTGTAGCCTCAACAATTGCTGCAGTTACCAAGTGGAGAAAAGAGAAAACCAACCCAATTCCCATTCTTGTCTTGGCACTGATCCTAACCGGTTTGCCTCTTAGTTTTGATGCTAGAGGAATAATCACACGATCATAAAGAGCTACCCATATAAATATTGTAAGTACCAAGACTACGGCAAAAGAACCCGCTGGAAATTCAAAGTGTGGAGTGATATGTCTGTTGAGGGATTTAGCTTGCAGTATTCCAAACGAGCCTCCAATGTTAAGTGACACCATGATCCCCGTAGACCACAAGGGAATAACTTTAATAACAGCTTTTAGTTCTTCCACTTGATCTATTGTGCACAAACTCCACGGATTTGAGGCTGATCCATCAGAGGCTACATCTTTTTCTTGATCTTTAATGATGCAAGCTTTATTCAGAAACCTAGAAAACAAAGCATTGCCAAAAGTTAAGTATTTTTTTCATCCACTGAATAAGCAAAACATGATCAGTGCTTAATGATAATGTGATCCAACTAACCTTAGTTTATGAGTTGGCACAACAAAATCAGAGTCCTTGTTGCGATGGTACATTCCAACTGAGTTCCTTGGTGGTAAAGGAAGTTTCCTGTTCTTGTAGGCCGCAACTATTACTCGCGCAAAGCCAGTGATCAAGCTGCCTTGTACTTTATTCTTTACATAAAGTGGAGAAGCAAGAAAGAAGGAGATAATGGACAAGAACATAAGTGCTGCTGGAACTCCAAAACCCACTTTCCATCCAAGATTATCTTGGATGTATACTATTACTGTGAGGGCAATTATGACAGAAACAGCTGTAGAAGCATAGTACCAGCTGAAGAATATTTCCAAGGCCCTTTGATTGTTGGGGTTATCTTTTCTGCTCACCTGGTCTGCACCAAATGCGATGGAGCATGAAAGGCCACCATTTCCGATGGACATGAGAGCAAAGGAAGAGATTAACATTGTCATTTGCCCAGATGTTGCTTGTTTACATCTTTCGGTTAAAGGGTTGCAAGGAGGAGGCCTAGCCTGAGGGAACATAGCTGTTAGCCACAAGAGTGCCATTCCCTGTTAACAAAATAAAAATGCTTTATTAAAATCATTTCATTTTACCTCGACTAAAGGAAGTCCTGTGGAAGGAATGACTCATCCTTTGTTGGATATCCTATTGACTAATGAAAATGTCATAATAATATATAAATAATAATAATCTTTAGTAAGTAAATTTTATAAAATTGAATTACACTCATAATTCATTATTTTAAGATATTATTAGAATCTGGGTGTGATGCATGAATCTATAGGTTATGGGCTCACAACTATACTCTATATTAACCATACCACTTGACAATATGGGATCTCCAACATCCTTTAGACACTTCAATATTATATAAAGAAAGTATTTTCTAGTCGCTGATAAAGTTGCACCATTCGTTCTTGTTTCATCAGTAAAAGAGTAAACAAAACTCAGATCATGTACAACTGACTTGGCCCCTACTCCTAGCCCGGAACTAAGTTCAACTAACTAACTACTTCACAGATCATTCCAATAACCAGTGAAATTTCAGGACTAGCATATGCCGTGAGTTTTGTTCATAATTGATGAGCAACAGAACTAAATAATTCTTAATTTTTTCTGTAAAAATATTTTCTTCCTTGTAGATCTATGTAATATTTAGAAGACATGGACCTTAGATGGCTCTTTCGCCTTGTATCATATCTCCAATGGATTATGGTTCTTTTCAAACATAATCAGAGGTTTTATATCTAATCGACATTCGACAGAATGCAATGATCGCTTTAATAAACTCTTATACTATATTATAAATGTGAATTTAACTTTACAAAATGATAATTTTCTCCGAATATATACTCAATTTTGGGTGTATCACTTATGGACTGAAATCTTAAAAAAAAACCAATGAGTAAAGAGAGTATCAATTCCATACTACTCAACGCTTGTGAGAATAATTGAACGGAGAGAGGACAAGTGAAGGTCCTAAAACTGAAGACAAGAATTGTGAATTCAAACGTGAAAAGGCAGAAAGGAATCTGAAAAGAAAGTAGGAGAGGGAATATTACCAGGAAAGTGATGGTGGAACCCAATCCAACAGCGAGGAATCGACCGAGACAGGAATCAGCAATGAAGGCACCGATGAGTGGTGTTAGATTGCTTGTTGCGGAGGATAACAGAAGCACTTGTGTTGCTTTGGCCAAATGAAACTTGTAACTCCCCATCAAATACAGTATCATGTTTGGCAGAAGGCCAATTGTTGCCACCCTTGCAAGTGCTTCATTTGCTGCAACAACACACAACACACAACCAAAACCAAAAACTATAACATCATAGAATCACTCACCAAACCCATGTTCTCTTTGTGAGGTGGAACAAAGTTTACCTATGATGAAAGGCATGGTAACAATACCACCCTTTTTCCTTTGTGGTTGTGGAGTGTGTTCAGAAGCCATTTCCACTTCACTTGAACAAAGTTCCACTTCCTTCTTCATTTTTGCCTCCTTCATAATGCAGACAAAAACAAACACAGAGCAAGGGACCTCTTAAAGCTATTTAATAATCATATGAAGATCAATTAGAACATATTTGATACAAGAATGCGCACCATCACCATGTGTGTGTGTCTCTCTCTCTTTTTTTTTTTTTTGTTTATAACAACCATGTGTGTCTCTGTTACAACATATTAATTATACTTATAGGAAACATATTATATGATCTCACTGTCTCGCGATATATACAAGGTTTGGGTGCGTTATTAATATTGTTAATTACTTCTTTGCTCGTATAAATGCAAGAGTTATAAAATCATTTATAATGTTTTTTCTACTCTTTTGAGAAAAATAACTTTTAATCTGTTTTATTTTACTGTGTCAAAACAAGTTTGATTGATGCAATTTGCAGTGAAGGTGCACTATAGCAGCCGAATTGACAAATATTGGGAATCAGTGAGAAGCATGTAATAATAGCATCCAATCATTGGGAATCATATTTTGAGTTTTCGGCTTATCCTTTTTGGTTTCACACTGCACGCCTCGAATAGGACCAATAACACGGGGACACAACTTAGCAATTGCATGCAACATTTTTTTTTTATTTTTAAAAAACTACAGTATCTCCTGGGATTTAATTAATTCATAATTTTTTATTTAATAAATACTACCATGTCTTAAATTAGTAAGGCACATAATTAAATTCATAACTTTTACTTCTTTTCTAAATCAGCCCTAAATTAATAAGACAGTGTGTTTCAAATTTTTTCTATTATAAGAAAAAAAAAAGAAACTATTTGTAGTATTTAGATCCTATAATAATGATCGGGTAGTATTTAACATTTATAATAAATTTATATTTGATATATTAAATCAATTTATAGTTAAATCATTAGAGTTGATTTAGTAGTAAAGAATTAGAGTAGTATATACACGAATTTAAAATTAAAATCTAATATTACCTAATTTTCATGGATAAAAAGGAAATTAATCTATAACTAATCTTTATGATATTTTAATGGTTAGAGTTGAGGTAGATATATAAAGATTTAGTTTTCATCTTATCATCACGTAATATTTTATATGGATAAAAAAAATGAATTAATTCATGACTTTACGTACTGTATTTATTTTTATTGTGTTTTGTATGTTAATTTTTGTACATTCCTTTTTAAGATGCGAATAATTCTTGTTTAGACTATCCAAAAATTGTCTCTCTGGCAAGGGTCTTTATTATGAGCTCAAGTATTCGTTTAGGATAGTTTATTTCACAGAAAATAATCATTTTTACATATTTTTTCAATAAGCTGGAAAAAAAATGTTTCTTTAAAATTAAACACGTTCTAAAATTGTAATAAATTCGGTGTCTATCTTTATGTATAAAATCTTTTTTTTCCCTATCATTTGTGTATGTGAGTGTAAGTGAAATTAATTTAAGTACATATTTTAATTATTTATAAGAATTAAAATTAATTTCACTTACTTTAAGACGAGCCGGCCCTATATCAAATAAAACAAAGAGAAACCGACCCTCAATTAATCATCAATTAGCTTGTCCCGAATGTTGTTAACTCGATTAACTATTTAATAACCTTGGTTAATTTTAAAAAATATTATAAAGGCTTGAGTTCTGCTTTAAATTTAAATATAATTAAGTTAATTTCAATTTAAAAATTTTAAAATAATTTTAAATTAAATTATATTAATGCTACAGCAAAAATAATTTATAATATAAAATTACTAGAAAAAGAGAAGAAGTCTAGTTTGGCTAAAACTTTATGAAAATGACATGAAACTATGAAAGCACCTTTGTAACTTAGCCAGTGTTTTGGAATCCTGTGATCATCCTTACTTTCTTCTATAGTTTAGTTTCGATTTGAAAAGCAAATTCATAGTGCGTTACACTTGTGCATTCATCTTCATCAAAATGCTCACTCTATTCCTAATAAAGTTAAAGATGGGTATGAAATATACGGGACAGAAACCCCACAATTATTGACCTGTGAACAGTTTGAAATTATTATTTTTATAAGCACCAAATATATTTTAATCCAAGATAAATTTATTTTTAGTCTCAAATTTAAAATTAACTTTTTAATTTTTATAATTTTAAAAAAAAATTATCTTAATTTTTATATTTAAATTTTGTTAATTTTTTTTTAAACATTATCGTGTAAAATCTACCTACTCGTGTTCTTATTAGTGAAAATATTATATAAAACTCAAGTGATCATACATAATTATTTTAATATGTGTTATAAAAGAAAGAAAAAACAAAGAAAATAAATAAAATAATGTGAGATGGAGAAAAGTATCTAATTGGTGTATAATATTTTATTAGTACATGTGGTAGCCGAACAATTACATAAAAAGAAAATAATACATAACAAAAATATAAATGATAATGATTGATTGATAGTGAATATTGACATCCACTAGTCGAGTCACTAATTATTATTCATAACAATATGTTATTTTTAGATATATTATTAGTGAATTGAGAGATTAAAGATAATAATTTTAAATTTGAGAGATAAAAAATAATTTTTCTCTAAATATGAAAGACTAAAAATATATTTAAGTCTTTTCATAATAATAATAATTATTATTACTATTCTAATTGTTATTAATTATTTTTATTATTAAATTTTAATTTAGAAGAGATATAATGTGATATTTGTATTAATCTAAAATTTTACTCAATTTATTTTATTATGATTTTATGTTAATAATTGTTTAATATATTATAATAATATTAAAAATATAAATTTAATTATTATCTGTTTGAGTATAGGGTCCGTTTGTTTATTTATTTATCTTAAATAAACATTGTTTTAATAAAATAACAAGCATTTTTTATACATACTTTTTGATGTGCTCTCACACACACACACACACACACACACA